TTCATTAAATCCCCCATGTGCAATCCTGGATCTGCTCATCTCTTTCTTGAGTCTCGCCACACTTGGACACAGGTTCTCACAGACTACGATCAGGTCATTCCCAAAGAGAAAACACAGTTTACATTTGCCTTAAAACTACAAAATGCCTGGCCCATATTTTTTCATGTAAATTTAAAAAGAAGGACCATGACAAAAATAACTACTCTCTCTAGCATAAATATATCAGTTGATGAAATTTATGTGAACTAAAATATTATTACTCCAATACAGATATGCAAAATGTAGGCTAGATTTTAGTGAAGAAAAACATTTTTTATCTTGGTTTCAACTCCTAAGTCAATTAATTATTTCAAAAATTAAGTATTTTGTAATTTTATCTTCAGCATCTTAAAATTATTCTAGTCCATATTCACAAATATACTACTTTCTAGCTTTTATTTTAGTAAACAATAAAATGTTAAAATGGTATATAGTCTAAAATAACATTTATTAGTATATAATTAATTACATAGCATAATTTCTCCTATCTACTGGAACTTCCTAATTTTTTCCTTTTGATTTTTTTTTTTTTTTTGTCTTTTTCGTTTTTATCGGTACCAGGGATCGAACTCACAACTGCCTGCTTGCAAGGCTGGTGCTTATGCCACTGAGCTAAATCCTCAGCCCCTTCCTTTTGATTCTTAAGTGCTACATTACCTTCATTCCCTACCATAGGAAGGTGAGGTAAACATATAATTCTGTTTCTGATAAAGACGTGTGATAAGTAGAATTTCAAAAGAGATGTAAAAGAAGGTAGGTCAGTGTCTGGATATATATCAAATTATTCAACTAGAGATAAAGGAAAGCCATGGGGTAAAACCCTTGTTTATAAATTTTGTGGTTTGGACTCCATAAACTTGGCTACAGGAATGAAAGCTATGAAAAGCATATAACAGAACCTGAGAGCTCAGCACATACTAATGCAGCCTCACATGTGCTGACCCAACACCCTGGTATAAATCATAAGGTGAATATAATTTAATGGGTCAAGTTCACCTATATACCAGGGTCTGCATCCATGTGAATCACCACATTCAAAGAGAGAAACCAAACATATGGCTAAGTATAGAGAGACAAACTGTCTAAGTGAAAATATTTTAGAAGGTGTATAACACTGTATCCACTTTCTACATAGTTATACTCAGAAGTTAGCCTCCTTTTCCCCTTAAAATTCCTAGTTGTGAAAGTGAAAAGTGCAAGTAATGCTTAAGAGTTAATCCTGTGTGTCTACTTTTCCTAACATTCTTCTATAATATCCATGTGTGCCTCCAGCTGTGCATATACACACATAAACACATCAGGAACAGAGTCGGAAAAATACTGTGGAGTCACATCCTTTGTTTCACTTGCTAAACTTCCTTAATAAGGCCAACAAAAGGCTTTCAGAGGTAGAATTTTATATTAGCAAATGTCAAAACAGACTTGTTAAATACAGTGGATAAACTTGCTACCACAAGCATTCTACCAAAATTGACTAGGTGACTAGGTGTGGCTTTTATTCATTGTTCAGTCACACTGCACAGAATATGTTCTCTAGCTACCATTTAGGTTGACATTCCTTTTATCTAGGGGCTTATAATAAGCAAACTATATTCAGTTTTGCAAAGACAAATGCGCTCTTCTGGTATCCTAGAAACAGACCAAAGTATGCTTTGTGGAAAGGCCTGAAGTTCAGGCCTGGGTCTTAATGTGCAAGCACAAAAATATAAGGACTAGGAATATTTTAAACAAAAGCTTGACAATTCTAAGGAACAGTATAGGATTACTGGTGAATGGTGTGCTTAAAAGATATACTGTATTGTAGTTGTTTAGGGGAGAGTGAGTACGAGGGAAATTAAGTAAAATTATACATTATTTCATTTTTCATTTTTTCTGTAATGATATCAGAGTGGGGACCCATAACAAAGAGTTTTCTTCCAGAGTAGACTGATAAATGCCAGTTAAAATTGCTTGCACTAGCTCAATTATAACACACAAAGTTGCTTTCCACAGAGGAGGAACATGTCAAGATCTCAGGGTTAGATTTCTGTACGCATAATTGCAGAAATTAATCTTCGATCAGGTTATCACATCACAACAGCTATTGTTGAATAATCTATGAAACAGCAAAGCAATGTATAATTGTTCTCTGGTATCTTTGAAGTAACGCCTTGTGTCTAATGACATGACATAAAATAAAGTGGACTCCTGTGAGTTATATTAGTCATTTTCCACAACCTGAAAGTTGAAATTATCCTCATTGAAGGAAAAAAAAAGAAAATATATTCTGTTATATAAATCATCTGGAATCAAATTAGAAAGCACAAGTCAAGAGGCTAGAAAACTCAAGGAGTTTCTTACTGGACTCTATAAAAGCCACTCCCAGTGTGATCCAGCATGATCAACAATGCATGCAGGACTAAGACTTGGCATGGAGAAACACTAGCAGAACCCAAACAGAAAGTCCATTCTCAACTTCCTTCTTCCAGTCTACTTTTGTATCATGTAACAATAAAAATAGTTTTAAAACAAAATATCTTGTTATTTATATACATTAACTATATTATATAATTTCTATGCAGCTCAAGACAATTGCTCTTCCCTCAACAGGTGCGCCCAACTCTCAAGCTGCAGGTCAGACATGCCTGCTTATTCTCTGACTCACTGAGACACAGCATTTGGCTGGTGTCCTGAAGTTGGCACTTGAATTTTGCAAAGATGTATGCTGTAGCACTGTAGGATAACCTCAGCTCAGCTATCTGACAATAAAACCTTGCTCCTATTTCTGGCTCTATTTTAAACTGAGACATCTAATGTAAGGCTGAGAGTAGCAATGGTGAGTTCAATGATCCCTTGTTATAATTACCATTGTTTAACATCCTCTTACCCCACATCCCAGCCCCTAACAACCATCCTTCTATTCTTTGTCCCTGTGGACACAAAGATTTAAAGATTCTACATATACAAGAGACCACGCAGTATTTATCTTTCTCTAGCTGGCCTACTCACTAAGCATAAAGTTCGCCAGGCTAATCCATGTTGTCTCATTTTACAGTGTACACATACCTCAGATCATTACATTGTACACCTTAAATAGATATCCTTTATTTTCTGCTGTACCTTAAGAAAGTAAAAGTTCTCTTGCTTTATTCCCCATGTGCCTGTACACCTTTATGCACTCATCAAGCATGTTCATGCCTCTCTGATTTTGTCCATATTATTCTCAGTATTTAGAAGTCTCTCCTGCCATACTGCCTTACAGGCATGGAGGAATTCTGACCCTACAGCATGTGAAACCTCAGGAATTCAACAAGGAATGTGGCCATGGAAAATATTACTGAAGGTCAAAGAACACTTCTGACAAGCCCATTGGAAACCTGGAAACTAATTTATCAATGTAATTAATCAGCACTGAGTTCCAATACAAATGTTTTGGGAAAACTAGTAAAGAACAAGAAATCCATTTATTTTAAGTAAATCTGTCCAAAAATGCTGGAAAAAGTGTATCATGCTGCAAAACTTTAGCGACTTATCATTGCTCCCACTTGCAGTTGTATTTATGTATGCAGGTATGCTGCTTGAAGAATGATGGCTCAAGGAAGATTTCCTTGAATTCTGAGAATCAATTTTATTATGATATAGGCTTTGCTAAGGGTAGCCTCCCGTAGGACATCTAAACATCATATAAAACTTTAAGCTTTCATTGCATTTATTACCTAGTCATTGATGAAATTGTACCAAATAAAGTTAACATAGCTCTTTCAAATCTATCTTAATAGTTTAAAAGAAGTAGGCTGGCTGGAATTAGAATGAGATTCACTCAGCTAAATTTGAGACCTGAAGAATGGTAGCAGAAAGGGAACAGTTTTCCATTTTCTCTGAGAAGTGTCACATTGGAAAGTATCAGGGCAAGATGTTCTCAATAGACAGTATTAACAGATATAACTTAATCACTATTCAAATGATCCATTTAAACTCACAGATATACAAAAACCTTAGATACTTGTCTAGATTGATACCATAAACTCATGAATTTCTACAAATAGAAACTGCTATGAAATTAAGGTACAATCATCATCATAGACCCAGCCAGTGCTCGTCGATAACATTAAGGTCATGGGAAATAGAGAAAAACTGAGAAAAGAGTCACAGACCAGGAAAAGGGAAGAGAATTCAAATAAATGCACCTTGGATCGGACACTGAATAGACAAGTCATACTACAGTCATATTACTAGAAAACCTGGTGAAGTCTGGTAAACTAAAGTTAATAATAATATGTGAACATCAAATTATTGGTTCTGATAAATAAAAAAAGTCACTGATAACCATAAGAGAGGTCTGTGGATGTAGATCCTCTGTAGAGCGTTTGCCTAGCACATGGAAGGTCGATCCTCAGTACTGCAAAAGTGAAAGACAAACCAAACATAAAACAGTGGGGTGAAATTGGTAATGTGGGAACTCTGTACAGCTTTTGGAATTTTTTATAGGTTTTATTTTAAAATAAAAAGTTTAGTTAAGTGCAACAACAAAATTATCAAATAACAGAGAATTTTACGCAAATTAATATTCTGAAGTCCAAAGGCTTCCATATAGTAGTCAAATTTTCCCCTCATCGTGAAATGCTCCTGCCCCTTTATTAATATTCTTTCAGAAACTGAACTCATGCATAAATGTAACCAGGTTTTCAATCTAACACAGCTGATTTCTGCTTTCACAAGCACGGCTCTGAAGTGTCAATTAACGTACGAGCTGTGTCCTAAATCCTGTAGCAACTAACTTTCCCAAGGCTCTGCAAGATTATTTCAATGCAGATAAATATGATTTTAATAAAAGACACGGGCCTCAGGGGATAGCTCAATGGTTGTACAGTTGTCTAGCATGTGCCAGGCTCTAGGTTTGGTCTCTGCACTGCAAAAGCAAAACAGAACAAAATTCCCCACAGAACATATTGGCAATTTTCAAAGTAATGGTTGTGACTTACAAGGGATGACATTTGAGCGTTTTGGAGCATAAACTGCATTTGCTGGGTGAACATGGCTGCTGCAGTCTTCTGTTGAATCAGATTGTTACGCCCATTAATCTCCAGCTGCGATTTTAAGTGTGGAGGAGGGTGAAGGTACTTGCAGTTCTCTCGAGTACACCGACCCTAATAATAAAAAACAAGCCAAATAATCATTTAGTATTTCTAAAGATCAAAAATGATTAAGAACATAAGGGCTTACTTATTATGCTTTTATCATGGGCCAAGAACTGTTATAAGTACTTTATATGCATCAGTTCATTTAGGTGCCATAACAAACCTGTAAAATTGGTACTGATAATCTTCAGGCAAGTGAGGAAATTGAAGACTAAAAGAGGCTAAGCGACTTGTCTATGGCCACACAGCTAAAAAGTGAGAAAACTAGAATTAAAACCCAGCTAATCTTATTCCAGACCTTCTCTTTGCTATTCTGCTCTACTTTGACATGCACTAAATCTACATTCATAACACAAAATATAAGGAATAGCATATCATAATATTTAAATAAAAATTACAAAACTGAAAACGTCAAGGTGAACTGTAAATTCACACATGTTTAAAAAGACTCAGGAGTTGAGCTAACAAGTACAATCAACCACATACTGGTCCAATTATTTAAATACAGGATGACCAAAAGTTGCATTTTTTACATTAATTTTTATAAGATAATGGAAAATATAAAAATTATAATTTTATCAAATCTTTTCAATACAAAAATTGTCTGGTGGTGATGACACCTGCCCAAGTGACACTCAAGATAGTTACTTGAAATATGTATGTTGATTTCCATTAATTGGAACAATCTATGTTCCAAAATGTTTTTCTCTGACTTACACAATGTTAGAAACATCCTGAGATCCACTGACATTTGCTAATGAAGAATTAATTCCTATATTTGGCAGCCAAGTTGTTTTTGAGGTTCCAGAAGCAATGGCCTTCAGTTACTTGGGTAGTTGACACCAAGTATACACTCTTCAGAACTTTGAGTGTTTTATTGATGGTTTAAGCACTTTAAAAATGATCTGATAACATATCAGTTCCATGGAATTAAATATGTTCTTGGTGTCACCTAAATGCTGAAATGGTAGCTAATTATAATATTTATTTCAAGGTAGGAATCAATGTCACTGGACTAGTTGTTTATTATATTATCATGTCATCTCATTTGTGTTAAACTCATGAACACCACACACAGCAGCTAATTATGATCTCATTCAGATTATTAGGTTCACCACAATCCTTTTAAGACAACTGAAAGTCATTTTTCCTCCATGAATGCTAAGATTCTTTACAGTGTTTGAGGTTGCTGTGGGAAGAGAGGAAGAAAAAAGGGCAACTTTTTTTTTAGACCCAAGAGTGAAAATTACTATAACACCTAAATTCTCAAGGCATCAATGAGCTGGCAAACCAAATGCTTTTATTCAACACATTCTATGTGTTTTCCTTATTTATGATGCCTAAATAGCTTAGGCAACTGCATCTCCATATTCATTACCTGGCTATAAAAGCATACACTGCCACTGCTCTGTTTGCTTTCTTTTTGTTTTGTTTTGTTTTGTTTTAGAGGGGAATCTTCATTAATTTTGAAATGTTTAATTTAAAAAAATCTTTTTCATGACATGTTGTACATATCTATGGAATACAGTGTGATATTTCCATCCATGTATACAATGTGCAATGATCAGATCAGGGTAACTGGTCTGTCACCTTAAATGTTTGTCATTTTTTTGTGCTGTAAACATTCAAAATCTTTTCTACTTAGCTATATTGAAGTATACCATAAATTGTTGTCAATCATAATCACCCTATTGTGCTACAGAATGTGAAAAGTTATACCTCCCATCCAACTGCACTCTCTGTACCTGTTTAAACGTATTCAACCCCTCAGACCAGGTGGCTCTACTGGTCTAAGGTGCCCATCTGGGAATTACACTTGTCATCCTTCTGCCTCATTCTCCCAAAGTGCTGGGATTTGCAGGCATATACCACCGCAAATTTCTTCAATTTATTATTAATCAAATTAAAACTCATTTACCGAAGTGAATATTTCAATGTACCTTTATGTTTCTGTAAATCCTTGAAGAAGAATTTACAGGTAGCAATAGTTGTGAATGGTATTAACCTAAATATCCTGAATTCATGTAAGAAACCTAGAAATGTAATTCCAGCACATTTAAGGAAACCTGCTTGTATAAAAAAAAAATTACAAAACTGAGTGTCTTTTCCTCATGAATGTATACCTACTGGAAACCTCAGCTTTATTTCACATTTGTTATATCTTGTACAAAGACAGGCAATCACGGGGATTTCAACACCTAGATCCTCAATCCTCCACCCACATAACTGAGTTTATGTAGCTTCAAATTCACTGGTTCAGAGGAGGCATGGCACACGGTGACTTCTACCACCAGGCATGCTAATTTATACTTCTACTTTGGGCTTCCTCCTCCTCACCTCACACCATAACATTGAAGATGTCCCCAACGCTCAAGTTTAAATCATTTGCTCTCTTCTCTCATCTCTTTCCCCTACAAAAATAAGTTGTTTCAAAGTTTCATCCAGCCCCTGCATTTGTCCAGATCTTAAATCTCTACCTCTACTCTGACCTCTCTTTTTAATTTCAGTCCTTATTATGATCAGTTTTAGCTGTAGTGGGAGATCTTGCCCACAGACCACCAAGCCTGAATACTACTTCTGACCTTTCTTCTCCTCTGCCTATCTTTCATCTTGCTACATATTCACATTCAGGGCCATTGCACCACTTCCCATGATTTTGAGCAGTCACAAGCAGTGACGAGAAAAGAAACTAGCCAGTTATTGCAAAGCCACTTAGATAGCTTTGTTTAAATACACACAGCTATAGAAAGCAAATTGTATCCCTCTCCCCAAAAACAAACAACAAACTAGAAGTTCCCCTATATAAGGATTGTTTCATATTCAGGAATTCCAAACAATGAATTAAAAACTAGAGAAAAATAATAATTGAAAGTTCATCATTTGTACCAATTTGTAGATTTAATGTCAGTCACATTAATACAATCAGAGAGAAAGAGTCGAGCAAATATACTGTATTCAGCACAGTTTTTTAAACCATTTTATAGGAATAATTGAGTGTACTTTTTTACTTTTATGTCACTGTCCCTTAAATATAGCAACTTTTGTTAAACTTTTTCTTGGGAAACTAATGAGATTTTTACTAAGCAAAATCAGTACACAGAAATAGAAAATATTGCACTCACAAATTACATCAAGTTGGGCTATAAAACTAAAGTATGGAATATGAGGTAGCATGAGATTTCAAGAAACTTATTCATCCTAGTTATGAGATTTTACTCGATTTATAAATCATTCTTTTTTGAATGACAGAATCCATAATTTAATTCTATAACAATGCAAATGTAGTGATGCTACCTTATCAGAAACTGCTGCTTATTTTAAAGAAAGCATATAAAATAAAAAATCTACATTTTCTATCAAAACCATAGACGAAGAGACCAAGTAATTTAATATGTATCTTATCTATGGAATACAACATTACAAAAGAACATTAAGTCCATGGTTTTTCAAAATAACTTTGGAACATAATAATGTGTTTATATGCACAACACTTGGTGATAATAAACCTCCACTGATAGGATGCATTCTTCAAGAGACCTAAATTTTGTTATAGGCCATTTTAATTGGCATATTAGGGGGAACCAAACTTTGGTTCTGACATCTGATGCTTTTCATCTGGGCAGGAGATAAGGACTGTAAAGCATGGGTGGATGGGAAGGGGTTGTCCCTTCAGAATAGGTAATCACCTAGGATTCTTGTGCATTGGAAAACCAAGGACTGCGACTACAATGGTTCCAATCATTTCCCTTGGTCAGCTAAGTACCACAAGAGTGAGTGGTCAAGATACTCTGTCACGTTGAATCTATAACAAGTCAGAAACTATCTTGGGCCTGAAAAAAATCATCCCTCGGATTTCTCCACCAAGTCAATGATGCCCCAAGCCCTCCTTCTTCCAATCTAACTACAGGATCACATTTTCCATGTACTAGTGCAAAATACAGACCCATGTCATAGAGGACTCTATAGATGTCATGTCCATGAAAGTCACCATCATTTGGTTCAGCAGGCAGTTCCCAAAACTACAGCAACTAGTCAATACATGTCAATCATGTACATACTCTCCGTACCCCTTCAATACACACACAACTAAAGAAATATTTAATATTACAATATAGGCTCATTTATGCTTGCCTCAGTGTCCCTCCTTTGCAGTTTACTATTAGCCTTAAAATATATCATTCTCATTTGGTTTTTCATGGTGCTGAGTTAAAAAAAAATAACGAGCCATTCAATAGGAAAGTAGTTCTCTGCTAAAATAAGTGGTCTTACACCTATGAATCTTCCAGTTCCCTTTTCCCATTTACTGCCTTTGAAAATGTAGCCAAAAAGCAGCAGGGGGAGGAAATGGCCAATGACATTTCTGAACTACATCTGCATCAAAAAGTTGATAACAGACAAAAGAAAAAGTTGCAGAGCATTTATAAAACCTCCCAAATTCAATCTATTGCCTTTTTCCTACTTTTAGGCTTTTCACAATGAACACAAAGCCTTTGACTGAGAGAGAAAAGTAGCATTGTAGTGATTCAAATTCCACCTATGTCTTGAGAATTATGAGTCAGAGTCTGTCAGATAACACAACTTCCCATGCACTTGGTGGTAGAAAAACCTGTGAAAAGTACTTTTTATGTTCATGAGAAAGCTCTACCATCCATCAAAATAAGAAAAGGACCCTAGGAAGCTGGAAACTACTCTTTGTCAGTCACAGTATCTTAACAAAAACAGCTGCTTGCAGAATGGCTTGCTTCTTCAAATACATTTGAAGCTACAGGGTGAAAACCCCCAAAATAACTTCTCTCAAATATAATTATAACTGGATTATCCTTTTGAAGAAATAATCTCATTGATCTTCCAGACTACGGAGAGTTGGATTTTTAAGTGTTAAACACACCACACAAATGATTTGTTTTATGAAGAAAAATATTGTTACTTCATTTTAATGATCACGTATTAAATGAAAAATCCTTTTTATGATGTTGCCCTGCCATAATATGTGTTCACAGACATGGCTT